GCAGGAATGTCTCCATTTTCCCTCAAATTTAGAAATTTTCCCTCCATTTTCTTTCCTAATCCTTTGCCTATTGAACAAAGATTTGCCTTTGGCTGTTTAGAGCAGTCCCCAAATCTTGCTGAGTAGTTCACTTGAATTTAGGATCTATTATGTAAACATATAAGAAATTATTTCATATATATTTATATATCTGTAAGAAATTCAAAATTATTTCTTCCAACATACATTAACTGATGTTTGTCAATATTGAATTAAATTTCCCTTTACTCATAGCCACTTTCTTCCTATTTAATTAGTTGAAATAATTTTCCCCCGAGCTATGGACTTGGGTTTTGGTCAGTTATGGTTTTCATAACAACATTTTACTTCTCATCTTTCTCCTACCTAGATTGCTGCCTGTTAAGATATTCTCATCTAAGGCTTTTTGAACATCTACATTTATATTTTATATTTATATTTATATTTTAACTCACGGCTGAACTTCTCTTCTTCCTTCCTGCCTTCTGAAAAAAGCAAGAAATAGCAAATAGACTCTCTTTCACCTTATACCATCAAAGTTATTCACTTTGTGCATTGAAAGAAAATGGGAAGTATCATTTCTTTTATTTCATGATTCCAAAAAGATCGATGAAACATTGAACAGGAGGACATGAAGAACCTCTTGCCTGGCATCCCTTGACCCTCTAGTGGGTCAGCAGCGTTTAAAAAATGTTTATAGGGAAGGCTGAAGTAGGAGAGTGAAATATTGCTCATCTGAGAGAGCTTGCCCTTGAAAGGAATAATACAGTATATTACCAGGTGGTTTCCCAAGCATTTTCCTATGGCACTCTCCTGTTTGTGAAACAAACCTGAAGGAATTGGGAACATTCGCATGGGTATCAAACCCTAAAACTCTATTTGTAGAGCAGGGTAAAATTTACAGGTGTGTAGGAATAAACAGAGGGTGAGATGTATTTATTTGTCAAATAAATTAGAAGAGTTCCTAAGTATTAGAGGTTTAGGAGCAGCAAAGCATTTTTAGAACAGTCTTAAACTGCATAAAATGTTCAGATATGTACTCCACAAGTTTTAATCTTTCATCCTTATTTTCTGCCAAAACCTCACAAATCTTTCCACGAGTATGCTTCTTAGTGAAATTGCAGTTGTTAGCTCATTGGATGAAAAACTGAGAGCTGTCATTTTCTCCTAAAAGATTTGTGAAATGTCTCTCATATTTTATACCCAGAGTTCACCAAGAAGCATCTATGACATTTCAATCTGACCCTGTGTTTTCCTTCTTCATACAAAAAAAAGATATATCACGTGGATTCACTAAATAGGAAAATTGAAGAGAACATTTATTGTCCCTGCATCTTTCATATCCTAAGTATTCATTCAATCTTCTGTTGAGAAGGGATGTAAGATTATTTGTTCATAGATCATGCTACAGAAAAGCTTGACAGGACGCCTGCCAGTTTTGCAGTGGCTCAAAGGTTTTGTCCCATAAACTACTTCCAGTTGAAAGGCACCACACTGTTGATAGTATTTGCATCCAAAAGCTTTCCTATTAGTAGTGTATTGAACGTTTCTTTTTCCTCACAAGATTACACTGAGGTCACTCACAGAGCTCATGCAGGTGGGATTAGAAATCATGCAGCTTCTAGTTGAGGTATCTTAGCAAATACTTGTCCTTCATAAGGTGAAGGAGTTGCTGCTGAGATACCCTCTGTACTAGCTGTTCAGTTAGTTGTTTTAAAGAATTGTTACTTTTAATCTAGAAGCGTGCAATCACTGATATTGACATATCAAGTGATGTTTGCCGTCACTGACAGACATACCCTACCTCCCCACAAACACACACAAAATACACTCATGTGCCAGCACTTCTGTCTGTGTGTGTGTTGGTTCAGTCGATAAAGTTAAAATGCAATTGTACTTTGCTATGAAAATCTCTTTTTTACGTATTGTTATAATTACACACTACAAAGAGCTTATGTATCTTAAAAAGATGACTTAGAATCTTATTTTCTCATGTAATACACTATAAGTCTCTTGAGAAATGAGGAAATAATGCATGATTGCACATTTATGTAAAAATGTTTGAAAGCATGATATTATAAGTGTAGAATGCTTGCCTAACTTTAAAGGTTAATATCATTCCTTTATTAGAATTTTCATATTTATATATAGCATTTCATTATGCAGTCAGCTGTGCACCATTTGCCTGTCTGAAGAATAGCGTACACAGGCATAAAAATGAGATTGTAGAGAATACTTTCTTTATGCAGTGTGTGGGTGCCACACAACTTATTGCTTCATTTTATTAGATAAGCTTATGTTTGTTTAAAAAAATAACCTTTCTGGCCTTAATTTTAATATCAAGGTAGTTTTATTCTTGTGAATATTCGAAGATTGTTAAAAACACACAAATGAAACTGAAGTAGACTGCTTCTTAATAACAGTAACAATTCATATAATGGCTCTAAGCTCATTTCTATGGTAACCCTACTAAGAGCAAGAAAGTTGTTATGTCAATTGTACTAATGAATGTAGGCAATATATGAATTCCAGTTAGCACTATTTTACTGTATATTGTAAGGACACTTGAATTTTTAAAGTATTCCTGTTATAAAAGACAATAATGGCTTTTGATATATTTAATAAGCTTTATGGAACATGTTTAGCATAGGAAAATTAATATACATGTAACATGATGTATTCTTGAATATCAAACAAAGGAGCAAAAAGAATACTTTTATACATCTGTATATTTTAATATGGACAAGGGAACACCAGTGGCAGATGCAAAGAATTGAAGAAATATTCATACATATAATTAAAGTACCCAATTGCATAATGTTACTAATGGATATAGGTGTCTACATGATTATACATTTTATATTTAAAAGTTGTGTACCTTTCATGGCACTTTTCTTTTTCTTTGTGGCTAAGTAACAAGCTTCTTGTTACTTAGCAAATATCTTACAAGTCTATATGTACTTACTCATAGACTGTGTGAGTAATCCCACTGAAGTCAAAGGAGCTATTCATAGGGCCAGAATCTCAACTTGTTATATTACTCTAGCTCTTTTGAAATCAATATAGCTGTGACTGCTTGATCAACTAAGGAGCTAGTTTCACTGAGGATAACTCAGACATTTATTTTAGGCTGATTTTTTCTGCATTCTCTCCAAACTAAAATTCAGGTTCCTCTCTGAATGAACCTC